GGTGGTGTATCTTCAATCAGATGAAGACATTCCCTGCAAAAATAAAAAATATGTTAGAAAACTTAATTAATATATATTCATATCAGTCACTAAATTACTTAAATGGAAAAGATAAAAATAAAATATTAACCTAGCTAGATTCATGCAGGGATCAGAAGGAGTTTCAGAAGAATTAAAATATTCTCTTGCAGCAGAAAGAACTAGTTTTACAGCTCGAGAGTAATCCAATTTCTTATGATGAATAAGATAGCTCAAACCAACAGGTGAAGTTGGTATGTTGGATAGATTGCATTCAATCATTCTTGCAGCCAATCCAATTGTTTCTAGTTTACCAGAACAAAGTAAAGCTTCCACAAAAATCTAAATTTAAAAATTTTATAAATTAGAACTGAAATCACCATATATTATACAACAAAATAAAATTATACATTATTGATAATATCTTCTGCGTGTGAAATGTAACATTGATCACATTTCTATTAAGAGTGATTCAAGCCAATTTCAATCTGTAACAAATAACTTTCATCAAATTCAGTTTTTGTTATTGACTAAATTTTTTTAAGTTATTTGTTATTGAAATTTAACTATTAAAAAATGTAAGCCTGATGACTATAAATAAAACAGACTGTTTCTAAATTATTCAGAAGCCAATTTTATTTTCAAAATACTACAAGTTTTTTTTATAAACTTAATGAGCCTCTTTTTAAAATGTACTTTTCAGACTGTAAGAAGGTTTTATCAATGCTATTTTGTATATACACAAAAAATAATTCTTTAATAATTATTTATTGATCTATTTGTGCCAAAATGCATTTGTTATTTATTTTTTATAATTTATTATGAATGACAATAAACCTACAAGTTTGAATAAACAAAAAAATATTTGTGGTGTAGTAAACACTAGTATTGTGTTTTATTCCAAAGACACATGGCAAATTTTCCATCAAATTCTTTCCACAAATCCACAAATATAAAACAGGACACGGTTTCAAAAAACAAATCAAAAAAATATTTTCAAAATCACTGCAACTCAAATGGCTTTATGACTATGACCTTACATAAAATATTTATTTTGATGTTATTCAAAATAGAAAAGAGAAATCAATTTCATCTACATATATTCTATAATCTTAATTTTATTACTAAATGACAATAATAATAATTATAAAAAAAACAGTTGTTAAAAAATTTTTATACTTAACAGATACATCTACTATATGAAACTATGAGCACTAACTAAGTTTTGGCTCTATGGAGGATTTATCAACACTATTTATGTAATCAAAGCAATAACACAAAAGTAAGTAGAAACAGGTTTATTATGATGATGGAATAATAAACCTGTGTCTACCAACTTCTGTGTGATTACTCCAACTATATGTCCTCCACAGAGCCAAAACTTAGTGCTCATAGTTTCATATTGTAACGTAAAGACAAAAAGCAATTCACAAAGATATAGCTACTGTTTATAGTTCTTACAGAATATTTCAGTAATATGAGAATTACAAGTGTTTCTGTGGAAGGTAGTATCATTTTGCAACCAATTAAAATTTTAATGTGACCCATAGTTTGAGAAACACTGCTTAAAATTTTATCAATATATGTTTTGTACAATATAATTTCATACAAAAACAAAATAAACAACTTAATTCCTTCAGAGATTAAAACTGAAAAATCTATCATGAAATAAAATATAGCTAAATGAATATTGAGATAAAATGTTAAGGGTATATTTTTGTAATTGGATATCATTAATATATCAATATTTTATTATTAAAGAATATTGGAATAATTTTTTACACAGAAGTATATAAGATTTACATTATGTTTTAATTACTGTAAACAAATATATATATTTAAAATTTTAATCTGTTTTAGAAATTTTATTAAAAAAGATTGCATTAAATTTTATGAAAATAAAAATATTTGTTATGTAAGAAAACTATATATTTTTAATATGATTATAAGAAGTAAGCTAAATTTAAGTGTTATAAAATTATGCTGCAATTTTTAATTTTTAAATTTACCTAATTAAACTGCCTTTTCCTTAATTAGAACATTATTTTTTATAACTATATATACATATATTAATTACATTATATAATATATAATTTTAAAAAATAACTTCTTTATTATGAGATTTGTAATTAAACTATTACTAGCTAATTAAAATAATTTTCCTTCTCTCCTGACCAATAGTTATATGTACTGTACATGTAAATTATTGTCTGCTTAAAAAATTTCTTCCCAAAATAACACATACTTCAATTCTATAATTACCTATTTTTGTTTCTATAAAATATTTCTAGAAAACTTGCCATAAATCAAGCTATGAATTCTATAACCTATTATAGATAATCTGTATTAATATAACATATATTGATGAATTCAATAACCAATACAATTTGAATAATTAAGATTTATATAAATTCTAAATTTACAGCATTAAAATGATATATAAATAATAGACTAAAAATATTGTGATAATGTTACATACTTTGCTTCAATATTTTTAAATTCATTACAGCTTCCCATTTTTTGACATATTGACCAACCTTCTTCATGACCACCAGTCATTAGTTGCTGACAAATATTATAACAATCTTGGTAATCTTTTGCCTAAAATATACATTTTTCTGAATAAATAACTAAAGAATAAAATTTATTTTTACAACTTGAATATTATAAGAAAATTATAAACCTCAAAAGCAACTTCAGCTATTAAAGATAATACTTTTCCTTCTCTCTGCTGTTTATCTTGACCACAGACACGAAGAAAATATGACAGTCGTAATAACTGAAATGATTAAATTAACATAATGAATATATTTGCTTTTATAATATAATATTTTTATTTTTTTTAAATATTTTTATTTTTTTTGATTCATTAATATAAATGACACCTTTTGTGAATTTTTGTATGCTTTTGGCTTTGCTTTCAGAGCTTGTTTAATGAATTCCAAGCGATTTTCGCATAGCCTAACTGACAAATAAAATGTTTATGTATTAATTTTAAATAAAACATTATTTAATAGATTAAAAATTTGTAAATAAGTTATACAAAATTTATTTTATTTTATAAACCTTTAAGTGGTAATATGTTTATAGAAAATTCTTGTAGTAATGGTAGAGATGATATTAAATCAAGTTCTTCTTCAATAACAGGTGGTGTATCTTCAATCAGATGAAGACATTCCCTGCAAAAATAAAAAATATGTTAGAAAACTTAATTAATATATATTCATATCAGTCACTAAATTACTTAAATGGAAAAGATAAAAATAAAATATTAACCTAGCTAGATTCATGCAGGGATCAGAAGGAGTTTCAGAAGAATTAAAATATTCTCTTGCAGCAGAAAGAACTAGTTTTACAGCTCGAGAGTAATCCAATTTCTTATGATGAATAAGATAGCTCAAACCAACAGGTGAAGTTGGTATGTTGGATAGATTGCATTCAATCATTCTTGCAGCCAATCCAATTGTTTCTAGTTTACCAGAACAAAGTAAAGCTTCCACAAAAATCTAAATTTAAAAATTTTATAAATTAGAACTTAATAAAATAATACTCTAATTTAAATTATTCTCAAATATAATCACCAAGACAACCACAAAAAGTTGAACAGTATCAAGTTATAATTGAATCAATTAGCTAAATTTGTTAAAAGTTTACAAACTTGGATTATAAATACATTTGTTTCTAAATGCAGTATTAATAATTTACTACAATTTTGGTTTGTCTAAATTTTTTCTATTTTTTATTAATTTTATACAAATTCTTCTTTTGAACATAAAATATTTGCTAAAATATCTACAACATAACATTTGATTAAAATTAACTAATTTCTTATGCTGTCAAGAAGGTCTAACGAGTAAGGACAAAGTGAGCCAAGTTTCCACTCATCAGAACCTGTTTTCCAGAGGGAGTCGGTTAGTGTGAGTCATCCTGAACGAGTTGAGACAGGCATGCCAACCGAGGCAGACCCAACATAAAATATTGTTGTTGGCAAACCCAGCTCTGAATTGGTCAGCCAATAAATCTTGAAATTGGATATAATGTGACATGACCATTCAAACGAGGAGAAACAAGCTAGGCTTAAGACTAAGTTGTTGGTAGCAATCGAGTAGTATTGCTGTATATACTGTAAATAGCTGTAAAATAAATGGACTTCATCTAAGATAAACAAGTTGTAAGGTGTTCTTTCTGATGGACCACAAATCCAGAAATCAGATGGCACAATCCAAAATTTACTTGTGCTTATAAAAATTTTAGAAGATTTATTATTAAATTATTAAAGATTTTTATAAAACTATTATTATAATTTTCAGTTTTTTTTAATTCAAAAATAAATCAATATCACAAAAATTTTACAAAAATATTAAAAACTTAATAACAATTATAGATTAAATACAAAAAAAATATGTATATTGTAAATACAAAATTGTCATCATCATCATCTTCAATTGTTTAAAATCACCGTCAACAGTCCAAAAACAATTTTGTGGAGGTGCATCCTCAAATAAATGGTTGTCTCCTTAAGTGAAAATTATTGTCAGATAACTTTTTTAAAGATAATAATTTTCACTTAAGGAAACAACCATTTATTTGCTAGTGATTGTAAATAACAGAGAAAGATAAAAACAATTTTGTGTCTTCAATATACATATTTCTATATTTTAATGTAAATACCATTGGTCAACTTTTAATTTTAATGAACAATCACAGAGTTGCATAAAACTATCTAATATTAAAGTAACTTATATAATTGTCAAAAATGATATTTTTTAAAAATTTTCTTTTTGACAATTGAACTATTATATTTAATACATTTTTTTTTTATATTTATTAAACATACTGGAAACAATTGATGATATGAAGTAAAACAGAATTTAACATTTTTATATATGTATACTGTATAAAATATGTGGAATTATATTTAAAATAAAACTAATTAAATAGTAATTTAATAAGTTTTAATTTAAATATCAATTTAATTTAATTTAAACAAATACTATTGGGTTGTTAGGAAAGTAATTTCGTTTTTTTTACTATTAGATGGATTAGTCGTATTTTTCCCGCCATTTTCATTCTAAACTGTATTATCATCATATATTTTGACAGCTAGTATTTTAAGGATTATTTATAAAAAATTTTGTTTGATTCTGTGCAATTGTTTATTTTTTGTCCCATCAAATATGGAAGATTGAAAGCATCATTTTCGGCATATTTTGCTTTTTATTACCAAAAAGTCAAAATGCTGTTCAAGCAAGAAAAAAATTGTGGTACATGTATGGAGATGATGTGTTGAGAGAAAGACAGTGCCAAAATTGGTTTACAAAATTTCGTTCTGGCAATTTCAATACTGAAGATGCACCACATTCTGGATGGCCAGTTGAAGTCAATGAAAACAAAATAAAGGTACTGATTGAAGCAAACTGCCAAATAACAACACATGAAATCACTAAGAGATTAAATTTGTCAAATTGAACTGTTTATGATTACTTGAAACAAATTGGTTTTGTTTCAAAGCTTGATATATGGGTTCCACATGTTCTTAAAGAGAGATGCTCTCTTTGGTGGGATTTTAAGGAAATTTTTTTTGGAGCTTTTACCAGACAATTTAACAATTGATTCGAAAGTGTACTGCCATCGAGTAAACAAATTGAGTAATATCATCAAACAGAAAAGGCGGCCAGAATTGATCAACAAAACAGGTGTAGTGTTTTACCACGATAATGTCAAATTTCACACAAGTTTGGTAACTCGTCAGAAACTGTTATAACTTAGATGGGATGTGCTATCACACCAACCATATTCGCCAGATCGAGCACACTCAGATTATTACTTGTTCCGGTCTATACAAATTTTTTTTAACTGTAAGACATTTACTTGAAATGACAATGTCAAAAATCACTTGGATCAGTTTTTTGTAAGCAACGATCAAAACTTTTATGAATGTGAAATCATGCTACTACCAGAAACGATGACAACAGGTATTTCACCAAAATGGTCGATATATAATTCAATAAAATATTTATTTATTATAAAAATATTGTGTATTTTTTCACAGAAAAAAAAAACGAAATTACTTTCCAAACAACCCAATATGATAGGAAATAATAATAAGAAATGTTATTAATAAGTAACTTGCTAAATTACTTATTAAATTACCAGTGTAAAAATGATACTTAAATATCTTATATAGTAGGTATGGCTTTTAAAATATCTATGTACAGTGGTGCCTCAGGATACGAATGCTCCAGCACACGAAATTTTCAAGATACGACATGAAATTTGAACATAATTTTGCTCCACGGTAAGAACAAAAACTCACCATACGACGTTACATTAGTTTGCAGCGCCATTTTTTATTCACTTCTGTTCATTGGTCTCAGTCCGTGTGTTTGCTTCGTTGTGGAAGGATCTCGCTCGATAAAGGAAATCCTGAGGTATTATCAGAAAGTGACCGATTTTATTGAAAAGAAACATCCCGAAAATGTTCACACTGGCCGTATTGCTGGTCAGACTAATGACATTTGCCTAAGTCATTTTAGAAACATTTTAAAAAGTAGGCAAAGCCAAACCTCTTTGGATAGATATTTTACCAAGAGACCTCTATCCAATAAAAGTGCTGGTGGAAGTGAAGGAAAGATGGCAAAAAGCAGCAAATAAAAAATTTTAAAAAATATATAAAACACAACAGTTAAAAAATTAGTGTTAAGTTATTTTTAAGTTATTGTTACATTATGTTATGTAAGTTAAGTTTTAGTATTATTTCCATTCTCCCTCTCTTACGCCACCAGTTTACACCTCCACTGTCATCTATCCTCAAAGGTAAGATGCAAATAAAACTACATTTTTTTTTATCAATTATTATTCTATTATGGTTATTTGTACATTTTACAACTACAAAATGCATTTTTCAATGTTTTCCTTACTAAAGTTATTTTTTTTCAATGTACTACTAGCTTTAATTTGAGTGTGTTTTTTGTTTTGGAAAAAATTACTTGGTTTTACATGTAATCACCTTACGACATTTTTATAATACAATCTCAGTTTCGGAATGGATTAATTTCATATCCTGAGGTACCACTGTATATTGAAATCTAAATTTGTACCTAAATCTGTTAACTATTTTATTTAATCTTTTTTTAATGCTTTGGAGATTGTTTTCTCAATACTTGCTCTTAAGTTATTTAATAACTATTAAGACTACATATTAATATATTAATAAAAATTTAAGATTATTACAAAATATAATAGTAATATTACATAATTACTTGATTTAATGAATTCTAATTTAACAAAGTTCAGATTTAGTGTAAAAAAATTTATATCCTAAAGAAAAAATTTAAAACTTTTTTTGTGAAGAGAGCATGCAAAATGAATAATTTTAAANGTTCGGAAAGTAATTTCGTTTTTTTTACTATTAGATGGATTAGTCGTATTTTTCCCGCCATTTTCATTCTAAACTGTATTATCATCATATATTTTGACAGCTAGTATTTTAAGGATTATTTATAAAAAATTTTGTTTGATTCTGTGCAATTGTTTATTTTTTGTCCCATCAAATATGGAAGATTGAAAGCATCATTTTCGGCATATTTTGCTTTTTATTACCAAAAAGTCAAAATGCTGTTCAAGCAAGAAAAAAATTGTGGTACATGTATGGAGATGATGTGTTGAGAGAAAGACAGTGCCAAAATTGGTTTACAAAATTTTGTTCTGGCAATTTCAATACTGAAGATGCACCACATTCTGGATGGCCAGTTGAAGTCAATGAAAACAAAATAAAGGTACTGATTGAAGCAAACTGCCAAATAACAACACATGAAATCACTAAGAGATTAAATTTGTCAAATTGAACTGTTTATAATTACTTTAAACAAATTGGTTTTGTTTCAAAGCTTGATATATGGATTCCACATGTTCTTAAAGAGAGATGCTCTTTTTGGTGAGATTTTAAGGAAATTTTTTTTGGAGCTTTTACCAGACAATTTAACAATTGATTCAAAAGTGTACTGCTATGGAGTAAACAAATTGAGTAATATCATCAAACAGAAAAGGCGGCCAGAATTGATCAGCAAAACAGGTGTAGTGTTTTACCACGATAATGTCAAATTTCACACAAGTTTGGTAATTTGTCAGAAACTGTTATAACTTAGATGGGATGTGCTATCACACCAACCATATTCGCCAGATCGAGCACATTCAGATTATTACTTGTTCCGGTTTTTACAAATTTTTTTAACTGTAAGATATTTACTTGAAATGACAATGTCAAAAATCGCTTGGATTAGTTTTTTGTAAGCAATGATCAAAACTTTTATGAATGTGAAATCATGCTACTACCAGAAACGATGACAACAGGTATTTCACCAAAATGGTTGATATGTAATTCAATAAAATATTTATTTATTATAAAAATAGTGTGTATTTTTTCACAGAAAAAAAAACGAAATTACTTTCCAAACAACCCAATATGATAGGAAATAATAATAAGAAATGTTATTAATAAGTAACTTGCTAAATTACTTATTAAATTACCAGTGTAAAAATGATACTTAAATATCTTATATAGTAGGTATGGCTTTTAAAATATCTATGTACAGTGGTGCCTCAGGATACGAATGCTCCAGCACACGAAATTTTCAAGATACGACATGAAATTTGAACATAATTTTGCTCCACGGTAAGAACAAAAACTCACCATACGACGTTACATTAGTTTGCAGCGCCATTTTTTATTCACTTCTGTTCATTGGTCTCAGTCCGTGTGTTTGCTTCGTTGTGGAAGGATCTCGCTCGATAAAGGAAATCCTGAGGTATTATCAGAAAGTGACCGATTTTATTGAAAAGAAACATCCCGAAAATGTTCACACTGGCCGTATTGCTGGTCAGACTAATGACATTTGCCTAAGTCATTTTAGAAACATTTTAAAAAGTAGGCAAAGCCAAACCTCTTTGGATAGATATTTTACCAAGAGACCTCTATCCAATAAAAGTGCTGGTGGAAGTGAAGGAAAGATGGCAAAAAGCAGCAAATAAAAAATTTTTAAAAATATATAAAACACAACAGTTAAAAAATTAGTGTTAAGTTATTTTTAAGTTATTGTTACATTATGTTATGTAAGTTAAGTTTTAGTATTATTTCCATTCTCCCTCTCTTACGCCACCAGTTTACACCTCCACTGTCATCTATCCTCAAAGGTAAGATGCAAATAAAACTACATTTTTTTTTATCAATTATTATTCTATTATGGTTATTTGTACATTTTACAACTACAAAATGCATTTTTCAATGTTTTCCTTACTAAAGTTATTTTTTTTCAATGTACTACTAGCTTTAATTTGAGTGTGTTTTTTGTTTTGGAAAAAATTACTTGGTTTTACATGTAATCACCTTACGACATTTTTATAATACAATCTCAGTTTCGGAATGGATTAATTTCATATCCTGAGGTACCACTGTATATTGAAATCTAAATTTGTACCTAAATCTGTTAACTATTTTATTTAATCTTTTTTTAATGCTTTGGAGATTGTTTTCTCAATACTTGCTCTTAAGTTATTTAATAACTATTAAGACTACATATTAATATATTAATAAAAATTTAAGATTATTACAAAATATAATAGTAATATTACATAATTACTTGATTTAATGAATTCTAATTTAACAAAGTTCAGATTTAGTGTAAAAAAATTTATATCCTAAAGAAAAAATTTAAAACTTTTTTTGTGAAGAGAGCATGCAAAATGAATAATTTTAAACACTCTCTCAATTAGTCTGTTAAATCAATAACCTACTAGATTATAAAATAATTCCTTTTATATTTTAATATTAAAGATATATATTGAATAAACATTAATAAGCCATTATTCTAAACATTTAGAATGTAAACAACTGAATAAATTTTGTTCAAAATAAAATATATCCTGTTGAATTTGTCATTATTATTCTGAATTAAAATTTCAATAATTATTATGGGTCTTCAAAACATTAAAGTTTTACACTTTACTTTAAAATTTCTTTAAATTACTTCAATTCTAAAGTTTAATAAAAATAATATAATTGATAAATAAAACTATCTGTATATAAAAGAAACAGAAACATATTTAAATAATATATATGTGTTTTATATAAAAATAAAATCAAAAATTATTATTTTTACAAGAAAACTAAATAAATCATATACTAACTTCATAACAATCAACTGGGGTAATACACTTATAAATTTTTTGTTGCATATCTAATATATCATTTAATAATTGCTTCCATTCAGCTTCTCCAAGAGATGGTGTTCTATATAAAAAGAAAAGCATTATTCACATACAACTATTATTAATTTCATATCTTTTAAATTTATACATGGAAATTTTTAATTATAAAGATTTATTTTTTTCTTGAAAATTAAAAACATATATAATATATTGTCAACTATTCTATCAATGCACAAAATTCAAATATATGTTAAAAATGAAATCATAAATAGAATACAAAACTTAAAAAATGAAACATATTCCTGTTAATATATTGATTTTATTTAATTTATCAATATTACATACTTTTCATATTTTTCTTATACTTAATATTATGTAAATAATTTGTTATATTTGCCAAGTGATTGCTATATTAAAAAATTTGAATGAACTGTTTTGACTTTAACATTTCTGACTCATTCTTAACAAAAAAAAATAATAAGGTTAAACTTGTCAATCACAGAAATCTTATTCATTCTCAATGAACTTTTTTTTAGCATATTTTACAAAAACTATTTTTTGAATCCATTTTAATTAAAAGATTTAAAGGCATAAAGAAAAAAAACCTAAAAGTATATTTTTATTTAACATTGTAATAAATTGCAATTAAAATAATCAATGCTTTTTTATTTACTCTTCAGGTATAAAAATTTATATTTTTATACCTGAGTATATACTTATTCTATACAGTTTACACTGCAAAAAACTTATAAGCATATAATTATCTATGTATCAAAATCAAATATAAATTTTATATTACATAATACATTATACACAGACCTATAAATCAGTCCTGCAGACTGAAATGAATCACTGGAAGAGCTAGATTAATAAATGAGAAGCAAGCTGAAAAATTGCATAGGCCTACAAATAGATCTAACATTAGCAAGACTAACTACATAAAAACTTTCAACTTTACCATTTTAATTTTTCTGCTTTTCCAAGTCTGGTATGGGTAATTATTATTAATTTAATCTGTTAAAAATAGGTATACAACTATACATTATCTGATAATGCAGGGGGGCAAGGGTTGGATACACAATAAAAATTAAGACATATATACAGCACAAAAAGAACAAGGTTGCTACAAATGACTGATGTTTTTCTTTTTCCAGCCGGCATTATTAGCTACAGTCCATGTGTAAAGAAACTTAACAGTAACCTAAGTTTATGTAATGAAAGCTAAAGTATATACTACATATTCTGTATATGGGGATTACTGCACTAAGTTGGGACTATTATATTTTTAAGAGGGTTTGGCAATCTTATAGTCCCATGTAGATATGGCACTGCTAAAAAATATAATACATGCTATAATAAATAAAATAAATGACAAATGATAAAATATCAAATGATTAAAAAATTTCTAAATGTTATGTGATCAGATTAAGAATCTTAACAATTTTAATTAATAAAAAGTTATATAAAAATTTAATTAAACAATAATTTATACATACAATTTCTGTAATTACTCAGGATTTTTATATTTCTTCTTAAATGAAGTTAAGACTATTTACAAAAAGGAAAAAAACCCATGTTGACTGTTACTTCTGGGGTGGTGTAAAAAAGGATTAAGATAGACTCAAAAAATTTTATATTTTTGTAAATAGTCTTAACTTCATTTAAGAAGAAATATAAAAATCCTGAGTAATTACAGAAATTGTATCCATATGCAAATTAAGTAAGGATAACTCGTAACTACCACCAGAGGGCCTGAAGCAGTTAAAAATGGATAAGGACAATGTGGTGAGAAGAATTCTTCATGTTTTTAATGTAAAGTGTCAGATCCTAAAACAGAAGGCTGACACTTGATCGTTTTTAACATTGTGAATTGTTTTTTACTGTTTATTTACCTTTGTTTTTAAGAAGTATATTCTTCAAAAAGAAAAAACCCATGTTGACTGTTACTTCTGGGGTGGTGT